TGATGCTTGCCTTTCTGATGAAGATTCTTCATTTCGACGTATTTTTGATGCCGCGCGGCAAGTTTATTTCGTGATCTTAACCCGTCCCCTGCCCGAGTGACGCCTACAACGCATAGCTAGCCGAATATAGTTTATTTTTTTTAACTCGCGATATCTTTTGAATGGATTGTCAGAATCGAATAATTCAAAAAGTAATATATAGATATTGAAGCAGTCTTAAATAATACATCATTTATTTTGATATTGGTTAATACCAAGGTACAAATAAAGAGCTTTTTGTAGCGGTGGTATTTTAATTTCTTTTTTTCAATAAAAAAACGCTTATTGTGACATGACTGTAATAGTTAGAGATATGCTGCCGCTGATTTTTTGTAGATAATGGTGTGTTCTAAAAAAATGTAGCATATCATTTTGTTCTATCATCAATAGTTTTCGCAGCGCACGCGATGTAAGGTAGTTTTTTGATATTTTTTTCACACCTTGGGTACGTTATCGTAATTTTAGTAAGGATGCCTATTTTTTTTGAAAATGAAATATAGCCTATGTCACTCAGGAATGATGTAGCTTTCCAACAGTGAAAGAATTTTTCAAATCTGCCAAGTAGTTTCGGAGCCTATTCAATTCATACAAACAAACAAACAAAAAATCAAACCTTTCCTCTTTATAATATTTGTATAGATATTCAATATCCAATTTTTCACGTAAAACAAATGAGGTGAGTTTTACTTCGTTTCAGACAGAATTTTTTATTCTCTACATCATCACCAGTCTACAAGTTACCACTGCTGAGCAAAAGTCTCTTTCAGACGAGTCTGACGTTTGCGTACTACGCTTGTTCAAAGCGGATTGGCGATTTCAAACTTATTAGAAATTATAAGTCCTACTTTCTTCACTAAGATTTACTTCCACGTTTGCCACCGTTGTCTTAATCATCTTAGAACGTACATACGTATAACTTATAAACAAGTCACTTTAGATTATGCCAGGTTTCAAACGCATACTCTTATGGATTTAAAGCGGGTTGCCTTAATCACACACGACTGTGTATTCTCCACAATGTATGAAATGAATTTTCGAAAATCGAAAATACTTAAATAAAACTTTGTGACTCGAGACTTGAACTTATTCTTGGCAGTTACACTCAACCAACGGGGCAGTTTATGACGGAGCCAACAAATGGGTGACGCAAACTTGCACTTAGCTAGTTGTTTTAAGTAGAAGAGAAAATGATGGCAGCGTGAAAAGAAGATTAATAGCAAAGTCATTTTATCCTGTTCGCGTCCGTGATTCACGCGGCGTGAATAAATAAACCTCATTTTTATTTTTACTACACTTTCTTACTGACTTATACTAAAATGTTATTTTTTTATGTTTTCGCCTTTATGGCGCATATCTTCCGGGCTTTGAAATAAAACCTATTTTTACGAACTCATGTATTCTTAGTTAATAAATTCTCAAGAAACTTTGACCTTTTACAGTTTGAGATCAGCTGATTAGGCAGTGTAGCTGTTAGCACACATTGCGTGTGTTATTTACCTTTTTCTAATGTAGAAAGACCGCTTTCATTTGCATAGTCGCTAATAAGGAAGAAGCGAGCGCGCAAAATTAAATAGCTTCACTACTTCAATACTGACCGACAAATTGACACTCTTAATCTTTAAGCTTTGTTTGACGTTCAAAAGTGCCTTTGATTTTGACTTTGACTTTGAAGTGTGTTCCGTCTGCTTGTTTGTTTAATTATACCACCAATACACTAACATTCATATTTCAACAGAATTGGTATTGCATAAAAATATTTCATATTACACTTTTCATGAAATCCATTTTTATACATAAAAGTGCTCGTTAACAAAATAACTTTTCATGATCCACTTAAAAAATTGAAGTCGACGTTCCAAATAATAATTACTTCCATGAAAGCACTGCATCAATTATGAAAAAATAAATTAATTTATGCTCTTTTAAATTGCGTTAAATGTAACGAAATTAATTGAGACGGTAGCTGCACAATGTATTAATTATTCAAGTATTTATTTTAATATCCACGTAAAATGTTAAGTAACATTATCTGTGTTAAAAATTCTATCACATTCAAGACTCTTTGTGTAATCCACAAATTGTTGTTCCGGGTCTGCGTGTGATGTGTATGTGAAATTGTATGTTTGTAACCGCACCCAGGACATAGGAAAAAATCGTAAAGTGGGGGAAAGTTATTAAAAAAAAAAAAATGAATGAAATGTTTAAGAAGAATGGATAATTCAAAAAAATTAAGTTTAAAAAAATTAAAAATCATCGGGTAAAAGTTAACGTTTACCAAAGATTTTTAAAAGTCAAAGCAATTGTTTTACGTATATTATGAAAGGGAAAAGTAAAACAAAAAGCATCGACTGTCAATCCGTCCATCAGCGATGAAGCTCGCTCCGAAATGCGATTCGTGTGGAGAGTGTGTTTTAAAAAGTATATAAGTATATGTTTTACAACCTTAATATTTATGAATTAAGGTTTAGATTGCAAACACATGGATTGGTACCAACAGACGCAATGTTATCCAACATTCCGTTTAGCAATAGTTAGGACATAACGCGTGACTATGAAACTATTACACTGCACTGCTTTTGAATAACCGATATTTTGTTCGTTTTAACCGAAGTATTGAATAGTATTTGTATTCTATTGTATTTTTTGATCCTTGTTTTGTTTAGAAATCGGTTCTGAATTTGAACTCTGGATTATTGTAAAGTTATCTCGACTTGTTGGTGCTGCTCTATTTGTTTGTAAAATAATATCAACTGTATTTATTTATATATTTATAATACTATATATTGAATACATAATGAGCACATGTACATTGGTTTCTAGGTATTGTTAGACATACATTTATCGATAACGATATACACACGTGAATCAATTGAGAAAAAAGAGTCAGCTGCGTGACGTCATCTAGGCATCTTGGCTTATAACATGTAATCTGCTTCAATATATGCAATTCTAATGTTGTTATAATATTTTTAATATAATTCTAATTATGTTATTGTAATAGATAGTTTCGTTCTTACTCTACTAGGTTATCACTTTATTTTTAAGAATGCTGGTTACCTGTAATTGGCGACTGTATAAGGCCAAAACCTAATGTTTCATTGTTTTATTTAATTTGCTATATACAGAAGCTGTTGGTGTACCTTTTTTAAATAAATAAATAAATAAAATATACCTAATATCATACTCTATATTAAAAGGAAATTCTTTGGTTTTGAAATTTTAATGAATATTTTTAATCACGTACAATAAGATAACCATTGAGCTCGTTTGCCCACTATCCCATAATAAATACCTAAACATACATACATATAATACTTATAATACAATACTTACATCTATAAATAAACAAACTACAAGTAACAAAATATATCTACTTTCTCCTAAAATAATATTTTTTTTTAAACATTATTATTACTGAGATCAAAGATGCGTACATAGCTTAATAACTTAACGAAAATCCAACCATACATCATAGGCATGTTGGCGAAACATATTTTTCATTCCTGAATTACATTCATATACAACCTCCTTATCCGAATTACACGATATTTATAGTATTTATGTAGCAAGGCAAAACAAACATTATTTTGTTCTAATAAAGCTGTAGAAAAAGCCTGTTTTCTTTACTCTTTTTGAATGAGGAAGATATTTTTTAGATGTTTTCCGAGTTTTAGTTGCTTTATGTTATGTTGCCTCGTTATTTGACTTACAGTTTTGTAAAGTACAATCAATTTGTAAATATATTTGACACTTATTATAAGATAAGGATAGAATTATTGAGCGTTACTCCCCACTTTGGTAGTCATGTAGATGACAACGTAGCCATCGTAGGATATGTAGCGGTTACAGTTGCTACGCCGTAGCCGCTACGAATGACCGCAAAGTGTTTGCAATAAACGTCACCGTACAACTTTGCCTATAATTAGAAAAATAGTAAACAATTTCTTATTTATTTTGTTACCTGCAAAAAACCGTGTATTTTTAATTCCCTAAAGAATGTTACAATCAGTCAACGTTTACGGCAAGTTTTAACGTAAAAAAAGTAAAACAAATTGCACTATTTTCCTTAGTAGGCTATTGGGAGCCGAGCCCCGGTGCTTCCGGCTCATATTAAAACAGTTATCGTACAATCTTAACTGCCCTATACTCGAAACTATAGCGTCCGCTGAAAATGATATACTTACAATCAAAACATCAAACAATACTAGACCACATGCGATAGCAAAATAAGGTCGAGTTTTCAACGCACATACTTTTAACACAGAAAGACCCTATTATTTCTCATTATTAATTTGATAAGAAAAATTTTCAGCATGTGAATGGAATTTTCAACTTTATTCTTTGGTGAATTAAGGGGGTATTTTGAATGACGATTTAAAGCGAAATGTTTCGTAATCGTCCGATACAGTACTGTATTTAAACGGTCGCTGTAAATACAGATAGGGTTTTCATAGGCATCCCTTTGTCGTTTGGAACAATGAATAAAAAAATTATTATTAAAAAAACAAAATACCCGACTGCACACTAAAAAAAGAGTAAAACAAGCCCCACAATACAAATTTACTGAATATAATTTATAAATGTTGATGGAAAGCATCGCAGGCGGGGACCACCTTGAATTTTCGTTGGTGGCGGTCAAGGTGGTCCCCGCCTGCGATGCTTTCCATCAACATTTATAAATTATATTCAGTAAATTTGTATTGTGGGGCTTGTTTTACTCTTTTTTTAGTGTGCAGTCGGGTATTTTGTTTTTTTAATAATAATTTTTTTATTTATAACTTTTTAGCTGTTTTTATTTAACGAAAATGTTGTAGATGTAGAAGACTATGTATATGTAAGTACCATTTTAAATTATTTCGACGACATTTGGCTTTAGATTACGAGTGATGTTACTCCGCAACATAAATTTACCGCCAATCTGGACTGTTGGTAGTGAAGAAGAAAAAGAATTAGGTGAGTCATTACTGCTGAAGATCCCGCAAACGTTTAAGTTCAGTTAAAGAACATTCGTCGTGGGGCCGGTCCAACTGCTTTTTTGGGTCAAGTGTTTTTATTGCTAACCCAGCAAGTGTTTTAACACGGCTTAGGGCTACATAAGCCTGGCCCTTTGCAAACACGTTTGATAGGTCCACGACAGCCCGATCCAAGGTGGTACCTTGCAGTTTGTGTACCGTTACAGCCCAACAAAGTATCAAAGGCAGCATCCGACGTTCAATCTTCCCTTGTCCGCGAAGCGCATCAAAGTCGACAGTGGAGGGCTCTATGCAAACCCCCACACCCAATTCATTGCCCTTAACAGAACGATCGTCGAACTCTACGAATACTGCCTGCGGTAACTCACCTGGTTCTAACTGCTCTCTGCGAAGAGAAGGCCACTCAATTCTTCTTATGATACCAATAGCACCGTTCACCAGACCGTGGTTTACATTGATGTTGCGGCGTAACATCACGCGAGATCCAATTCCAATAGTTAGTGTGCCGAGAATGCCCCCTGTTTTGTTCGGGTCGTCAGAAATGTATTGTTTGCGAGGGCACTGACCGTAGGTTTTAGCTTCTAGGGAGATGTCAACAGCGTTTATTTGGTAGAGCTTTAACGATTTGCCCAACTTTTTAGTCATGGCTGAATTATAAGCATCGACTTGTTTCGTAGTAGGGAAAATTCGAACTGCCTCTCCATCGGCAAATGGACCCTCTTTTAAAGAGAGAAACACGAAAGAAAAAGAACGAGTTATTTATACTTTATAAGTTTCGCGTCAGACGACGAAGTATCGAAAAAATCGCTATTTAGAGACGACCGTCAACGACGTGTGCCCTTATGCGTGTGCCCGCATTCGGGCTGTATACTCGAGCATATCCCCCTCCGCACCGCGCCGCGCGCCGCATGCCAGGCCACGCCCTATCTTTTTGCTTGCTAACGCATGAGTTGCTTTGCGTTGACGCAGAATTAACATGTTCCCGTAGGAATTTTGAGAAAAAACGTATCCTATATTAATTACTCCCGTGATTGAAATGAATCTAATGATACCGCATACATATTTTTTTAAAGGGAAATTTACAAAAAATATTATTATGTCTTTATCCCGTGGGACTTTTAGGATAAAATGTATCCTATGACACTCCCGTAATCAAGACAAATCTAACGATACCTCATACATCAAAATCCATCAAGCCGTTTAGGCTACAGCAGGTCACAAAGGAAAAGACATACATACATACTTACATACACTCGAAAAACATTACCCTCCTTCTTTGGCAGTCGGGTAAAAACAGTGGCCTCTTTTGGGTACGCCAGCTGGTAAAAACGAGTCCTAATGACAGTCCCAATATGGGGACACTTCATTATCCAATGTTTTTTTTTTGTTTGGGTACAAAAAAGATACAATTTAGATGCATAATTTTAAAAGGACAAAACACTTACTTTTGCTTTGGTTTTGACATACTTTGCATACGTGAGCCTTAAAAGTCAAGTTTTTTGTAGAATATTTTGTCTTACGTAACAAAGCTTGGTAGCTGATTAAACTAAGAATAAGTACTGCATGCGTTGTACGTGTTTGTTAGATGTACAAAGTTTGATAAATTCTGACTGATTTCCCTGTTTATTTATTTACAAGACTATATCCTAAATGTACTCGTAAGTCGCATCATCACTTGCCACCAGTTGTGATAGCGGCCAATACTATCTCTTATATATAAAAATGGATCGCAAAATGTGTTGGTAAGCTCATAACTCAACAACGCCTGGACCAATTTTGCTAATTCTTTTTTTGTTGTGTTTGTTATTGTCAGGAGAAGTTCTTATCAAAGAAAATATTAGAAAAGTAGAGGAGAAGATTAGGAAAAGTGACCCTTTGATATCGAGATAGTTGGATCCGTGCGAACCGGGGGCGGGCCACTAGTTATGAATAAAAAAAATATCGAATACCGTATCGTACAATTAGTATTTGTTGAAAAAGATCTAAAGTAAAATTTCTTCGTAGACAATTTAGTAAAATGATTTTTTATTATTTTAGAAAGTGGCGAGACATATAAATATTACATAAGTTATTATTTTTATGATAATGATGTATCGCTTTTGAAACTTCTAATGTAAAATGTACTTCATAACATGATTGATGTGTAAATAATATCTTTAAGTGTGGTATGTAATAATCTAGACGAAGTAATATCTAGAATCTAGACTGTCTGGATATTCTAGGTGTCTATTAGTAATGATAATGAAAATATAATATGTTAGTTTCGAAAATTTGTACCGTTATTATTTACTTTTATAGGTGGATGGCACCTTCAAGTTTGGTTCGTAATGTAGATATTATGAACTGTAGATAAAAAAAAATTCTTTAGCTAAAAATTTTTATTTTAATAAAGTATAGTGTATATAAGATACCTTATACCGTATTTATTGAATAACCTTTTTTGAAAATAAACTTTACAATATTCTCAAGAAGCCAATGTATGTGGTAGATCATCTTGAAAACAGTTATGTACACCAAACAAACTTGTGATAGATATAGAGAGAAATGTAAATATATACACATAATTATAATGATATAAAATAGAATCATGTTCTAAGTAACTTAAGACTTAATCAACCAATACATTGCTTTGCGAGTAGCTTCATGTTGTACATGAATTTCGTAGAATATTTATTAATTCTTTATATACGATTGCATATCGGAGGACTGAATGCTACAAGCATTTTCTGCCAGTCAACCTTTTGGTAGTGCAGAGATGTGTGGTAGGTGATATGCACTTAAAATATCAGATAAAATATATTCGTTTAAGATATTTACCTGATTCTGTCCTTCGTGTCATGATTATTTTATCCCAGTGAATAAATACAAATTACAACTTATATTCAAATAATATTTAGATGCATTGCATTGCACATGCATAATAGTTTACATAAAATTTAAATTATTTTTATACCACTGAACTGTTTTGATCAGTAAGCCTTTTTAAACTGTGCTATATCCATGCAATTATAATATCCTTCTATTTTAATGAAAAAAAATATTCAAAACAACCAATTCATTGGTCTGTGTTTCAAAATATACATAAAAAGCTATTCATACCAGACTTCACATTACAACAACACAGATTATCTTTTCAACTTCCCACTTTTATTCAAACCCTTTTACTTTTACGGCGTGATAAGCCTGTATTTGTATTCACTCCAAAATCTTGCAAACGAAAATAAAACATTAATGGGTCACCGTAAAAAAAGACCTCGCTAATTCTCTGGCTACATTAGGACCAACAAAACGTTCATGCGTACATCACAGAGTACGTACCATCACGTACGAAAAAGGTATTTCAGTCCGAAAAAGGCAAACATTAAAGTTTTGGTTGACTGCCATCTCTGTCATTTTAACTGCTCTGTGGTTTTGTACAATGTCGCCGTACCTTTGTGGAGGACAGTTCGTAATTTGAAATTTGCGTGTGGACTCGTAAAGGGAATGTTTTTTTTTTAGTTTTATGATGCCAGCACTTAGAACTCTTTGTTTTAAAACACGAGTGGGCTTTTTGTGTCTAAGTACTCGGTGTAAAAAGAATTATTTTAAATGAAATAACGTGAACGTGTTGATTTTGCTTTTTATTTTATATTGTTACTGTTTTGCTCGTTGTTATAAAGCCTTTGTATTTCTTGTGCTGAAAGTTTATAACATTTTATAATTGCTTTTAGCTATAAATACTTTGCTTCTGAATTTGTCAGATCGTTTTTACTTTGAAGTTGTTCTGTATTCAGTAATACACCATATTATGTCTGTTCGTTGTGACATGTGAATCATGTTCATTGAGAAGTCACACATTCCAATAAAATATACCATTTTATATATAAGCAAAAAAACACTTTCTTTTATATTCCACCTCGATATTTGTAAACAAACAATTTGACAGATTACTCGAATCAATATATGTATCTTCCATCCAGGTAATTCAGTGACTGCCTCAGTGTATTGTGCAGGATATTGTGACGAACCTTGTTTGTCACGGACATGAACGGACACTTGAGTTCGTCACGTCAATAAGGTAGCTTGTGTTGGAAACAGTTCCACTAGCTCCGTGTTACATCTTCAAGACGTTAATTTGTGTTTGATATTAATTATTGCTCAAGGTTCTTTTGTAATAAGTAGCGCGATGTTCTTGGCGTACGCCTAGCTACAGATTGAAATGTTGCCAATGAACAAATGAAACAGGTAATGCCAAGAAATCAGCAACGCCCATGGACACTCACAGCACCAGAGACTGAGAGTTACAAGTGCATTATCTGTCTTTGAGGTTGACAAGGTATTTGATGTCTCTGAGAACCTCATTCTGGTTATCCATTAAGTCGAGAAAACGCGCTGATCGACCAAAGTTATAAGTGTTGTCGTTTTGTCGCTTTTTAGTTCTGCCTTTGCTTTTCTGATATGGATAGAGACTCGATATGCTATTAACTTGGATTTTCTCACTTTTTCACACAATTTCATATACATTGGAACAACAATTTGTAGACCACACAAACTTTTTGTTCCGTTGAAAAATGATATTAACAAACATTATTGAAAAATGATAATCCTTTAATTCTTTGTCTTTTTACGTTATACACCTTTTTTTGTTAGTGCTTAAGGTTCGGTATACTGGTGAAATGAAAAACTTAACTTTAATTTGAATTCCTCCTCAAAAACCTGTTAATAAACTTTATATTTGTATGTGTTTAAATTAAATTTATTTGAATGTCGACTTACGTTGCTTTCAGATCGAGGTTAAGGAATTATTTAAAAAATAATCAAGATTTTACTACCAGACAACCATGCGATTACGTGAATAAAACTGTTCGTAATAAAATTTATACGAAACATTATATTTTCTTTATATCTTGGGCGGCACGGTGTTGTTTTATTATTATTGAATGTAGGTTTTAAATATAAATGAAAAATTTTATGAAGATTATAATTGCAACTGAATGTTTATAGCAGAATGCATCACGAACTTGTTTAATACATTTATTGTAATTTATAAACTCATTAAGACTATTATCATAAGTCGTGGGTGCGGTATCAAAACACTAATTTTCCTCAAACAAGGAGTGAAGGCTTGAACAAACAATAACATAATAATATGGAAGATAACACAAAGATCTTTTTTCGAAAATGAATTTCAGGAAGATTAGAGATTGGAGATTGGAGGGGGGAAGGGCGAGATTGGACTTGTAATACCTCACTGATACGACGGAACACAACATAAGTGTTGTTTCACGTCGGTTTTCTGTGCAGCCGTAGTATCACTTCGGCTGAGCTGACCCATTCGTGCCGACGCATAACTTTCCCACACTTAACAAAACAACTCTTGAATGGAGTAAAGTATCCATCTTCTAAAAGCGTACTAACAATAAAAGCAAGCTCTTCCCGATGCCAGGTCGAGCCAAACCGCCAATGCACTTAATTGGATTTTTCTTTTACAAAACAAAACGAGATTGCAATTCTTCCTGTACCTACAAGACGGGGCATATTGTTTTCTCATTTATAAGAAAAGAAGATACCTCAGGTGAGATACTAGAAGAAAAACAACGTTAGTAATCTCGGGAACTAAGTGCTGCAGCAATTATTTTTTCATGTTTTGTTAAAACGAATCTACG